AATAAACTTTTTTTTCTAAAGACTATTTAACACTGAAAATGGAAAACATTTTAAATATCCACAATTAATGAACAAAACAACCAAAAACAATAAAAGCAATGGACTCTCAGTCTCTGTTAAAAAAATGCACTTGAATAAATACCAAAAACAATAAATAAAATGGATGTAAACAAAACCCGACCCTACCCTATGATAAATTATTTGTTATTAAAGCATTAACATACAAACCACTGTTAATTTAACATAAAAGCAAGCAGGCTACTGCGTGCCTGGTTTGTATGACTGAATGCGTACAAAGTGCGCTCCCTTAATAATTCCTAAAAAGCTGACAGTTCATCTCTGTTATCAATGAAGCTGACTGCACAATGAATCTTTCATAATATCCTCACTTTGTTTGTTATAATTAGAGGATTTGCCAGCATACAAAATTCAGCACTGAACAAAAAGTCAGTTTTGAATAATACTATAAAAAAAAAAAAAAATACTATGGAAGTCAATGGTCCCAAAGTTCCAATCGTTCTTTAAAATATCTTCCTTTGTGTTCAGCAGAAGAAAGAAACTCATACAGGTTTGCAACAACTTGAGGACGAGTAAATGATGACAGAATTTTCATTTTTGGGTGGAGTATCCCTTTAAAACTAATTTGTCAAAGTGAAAGAAAGCAGCAATATAAGTGAATTATAAGTGAATCTAACCAGTTATAGAAGCTTAATATTTCTGACTGGCACCCGGAAATCTGATCATATCTCCCCTGTATTATGCTTTTTGCACTGGCTGCCAGTCTGTCATAGAATTGAGTTTAAAATTTTACTACTGTAGTTGTTTTTAAAGCTCCGAGTGGATCAGCTCCTAAATATCTCTGTGATCTTTTAAATCCAAATATACAGATTGTTTATGGTCCCAAGATCTAGATTAAAGTAGAGGGGTGACCGTGCTTTTTCTATTGTTGGGCCAAAACCGTGGAATAGTCTTCCGGTTTCCCTCAGATTAGTTTCTTTAGAATCTGAATTTAAATCCAAGTTGAAAACCTTTCTTTTTACTCAGGCTTGTAACTGTCCCTAGAGTGTAAGGATCCATCACTTATCAGTGTTTTGATGCTCTTCTCCTTCTCACTGCATTGCGGTCTAAATTGTTTATTATCTTTATATCTTTTTAGCAAGGTTTTGTACAGGTTTTGTACAACACAGTGGTAAACTACTGTTGTTTTTATTTTGCTTTATAAATAATATTGTAAAGAAAATGTACTACACTAAATTAAATATATATATATTGTAACCAATCATCAGTAGGTTACTCAGAGCTTGAGGTAGAAAAAGGTGGAATAGTTCACCGTTACATCCATTTTATATTTCCTCATCACCATAATAAAATAAACATCATGCCATCCGCCTCCAAAAGCAAGATAACATGACTGTGTTTATTACACCTCAGAGCGTGCGGACAAAACGCAAGTAATTTATTATGGGCAATATGAAAATTATTATATACAGCGGCTTCTCCTTCTGCAGCAACTTCCATTTTTAAATTTATTAGGAAGTGACAATTTTGTTCTCTACAATACATTAAATTCTCAATTTTGGATGGAAACATGGCTAGTTACATAACTTAGATTGATGTAATTTGAATCCAAAAAGTTGGACTGATTATATCCTTTGGCTAACTGCTAGCTTGTCAGACTAGTCTTAACATAGTGCAGGGGTTCCCAAACTTTTCCATGACAAGGCCCCCCAAATACCACTAGGTTCTGGCCAAGGCCCCCCTTTTGCGGCATGTGTAATTGAACCCATCGTCAATACTACGGCAAATGTAGAAATAAATAAATAAAACATCTAGGTGAACATCAGATTATGTGATGATGTTTGATACTAGACAATCAGAAAGATTATAGAGATGGACCGATTACAATTTTCTAGGCTGATTCCGACTTTTCATTGAGTTTGACCTGCCAGTACAGATTTGAGCCAATTCAGATTTCATTTTTTCTAAACACTTTACAGCACACACAAATATTTATTTTCTATATTTAAAATAAATAAATAAAACACCATATACTTTTACCCAAACTGAATAATAAAAACAAGTTTAAATGGGTATATTTTCTTTGGGTAAGTCTTCATTTTCTTTTCTGACATAGCCTACTCCAGTTCTTGTTAAAACACAATTGCAAATTATGTGCATTTTAGGCACTTTTTGTGTGAAATCATATTTATTTTCTCCATCAAAAGTGTGCTTTCACTTTAATTGAGCATGAGCAGCGGAGAAATAGACTCTGCGCCGAAACCCCCGCTTCACTGCTGCTCATGCGACGCTCCTGCTCGAGGTGTGAATGCACTCATTGAGTAACATGCACACCGAAAAGCTGCTCGCGCTTGCGGTCTGAAACGGTCGTAATTCACGAGGTTTCCTACATTTGCGTTCCGTGTGCACGTGGGATGCTGATGTTGCGCGATGTTAATCATGCGGCGCCCAAGTGCATTTGACATTTGTCATGACCGATCACGTGAAAATCGGCGAATTCCGGTCACCAGCTGATCAATCGGTGCATCTCGAAAAGATTGGCATTAAAAGTATAATGTTCAGATAGGCTATGGGACAAATTATTATATTGCTATTTCATAACAATACTCATAATAATATAACATTTTTTACGTTTTTTTTTTCTTCCAACTTGCTGCGTGCCCCCTGGCGGCCCCCACTTTGAAAACCCCGGATATAGTGTATCAATGTGTTAATGCAACTGGTCCCTGGTCCACAATTGTAATGTCTTTATCTAACTCGGCTTGATCATGAGATATTCTGCACACACTTTTGTCCTGTCATGGTAGGGGCTTTCCATCGATATCTGATGTTTTTATGCTGAGCTAATGTTATTTTCTACCCTAATCCTATTCTTACCTGATCCTCACACAAATACTTTTACATTTTCATTAAAACATTATTTTAGGACAGTTTTTCTCACCGGTACCAACAATGTAGGTGATTTTCACGATTTGTTGTCTTTGTGGAGGCATTTGGTCCTCATAATGTTGGCAAAATCTACACACACACTAGTCCACTGACCTGTAGTGTATGTCAGGGAAATGAGGCTGCTATAAAATGCTCTAAACAATTTCTTCAAACACCAACCTCTCACTCAAGAGTTATGCAATACCACACACACACACACACACATACTTACACCAGAAAGAATAAGGCATGTTTAACATTGTATCATTAAAGATATGGGTAACACTTTACAATAAGGTTCATTAGTTAACTACATTAGTTAACATTAACTAAGAATGAACAATACTTCTTCAGCATTTGTTAATCTTTGTTAATGTCAACATTTACTAATACTTTATTAAAATCTTGTTAACATTAGTTAATGCACTGTGAACTAACATGAACAAACAATGAACAGCTGGATTTGTATTAACTAACGTTAACAAAGATTAACAAAAACAGTAACAAATGTATTGCTCATGGTTAGTTCATGTTAGTTAATACATTAACTAATGTTTAATAAATGAACCTTATTGTAAAGTGTTACCAAGATATGTTTCTTGCTTCCTGCCAGATTTCCACTGTTTTATAACATTATTATAAAGCTTGTTGAGCTGAGATTGTGAGCCAGGCAATTGAAGCATAAACTTCATATTAAATAATTGTTTTGGGGCAAAATTAGAAAATAAAGCATAATAAAGAATAATATAAAATAGTGATAGTGAGATTAGTTTATGTCAGTGTAGTGAATAATGGTCATATATTTATATGGTCATATATCAGCCTTTAGTTTTAACCGTTTTCTGTCCTGATTCACATTCACTCCCAAGACCCTTCTCTTCTTATTATCTAAGCTCTGTACACACACACACACACACACACACACACACACACACACACACACACACACACACACACACACACACTCTCAGCACCATAAACAGCCATGGATGGTGAGAAAAGGTTGCTCTAAATGCATTATTAAAGCCCTGGTACAAATGCTCATTCAGTCAATATTCAAACCCATATTTTCTGACCTTCTCTCTTCTCCATCTATAATTAGATGGCTATTACTGCCGGTCTGTCTACTGTGCCCTGATGGGAGATTTTAGTGAGCTTGTTTTAAGTGGTAGGATATTTCTCACAAGACATGTTTTTTGATTTCCATAGCCAGTGTCTATGTAGTGCAGGTTGGTGATGTATGTATTTACGGTGATACATTTTTGCCATGGCCAATTTGTCCCCAGAACTTTATGAAGTAGCTCATGGCAGGGATATATTTTAATCACTGAGCAATAATTTCATTTGATTCATGTGTGTCATAATTAGTGGCAATCTGGTGCTGGAAGTGGTTGTTATTGTTGTTTTTTGAGGGTTTGTTCTCAGTTGTGGAAAGCTCCACACACTGTAAAAAAAAAAAAAAAAAAGAATCCATGTCATTTATGGTAGAAAAAAACCTGACAGCTGTGGTTGCGAGAAATTTACAGTAAAAATATGGTAGCAACATTCTAGGTTTGACAGGTTTAACTTAAATTTACAGTAAAAACCAAACAAACCGAATTTCATTAACTGATATAATGTTAATATACCAACTTATTGAATTACTGTTTTGTAACTTTGTAATACATTAACAACCACCAAAAACAGGTCGTGATTAGTCATATGATGAATCAAAGCTTATCATAAGCAGCTTTTCTACAAACTGAGAAGGTAAATACTAATATATAAAAGGTTCACAGTAACAGGTTTTTACCGTAGCATTTTTACCGTTAAAATCATGATAATTTTTTACAGTGATTCTTTTCTCTGGCTCTTGCAGATTCTTTTCACTGTAGATTTTAGAGTAGATTGATTTGTAAGGGTTGATGAATTTCAATCTGTTTTAATCTATCTGTTTACATTTTATATTATAAGTATAGTTCTCAGATGTTTTGAGATCTGTGCTGACACATTCTGATTTATTGATGTTCTTTCTGGCTGTCATTGTCATCTAATATCCTCTTTTTCTCTTCCAGGCCCGCTATAAGCAGAGTTTGGACCCTACAGTTGATGAGGTGAAGAAGTTGTGCACTTCACTACGGAGAAATGCCAAAGAGGAACGTGTTCTCTTTCATTATAATGGCCATGGGGTGCCTCGACCCACCGTCAATGGAGAGATTTGGGTCTTCAATAAGGTAAGGCAAAAAGTATCAGGAAAAACGGGCGAATAAAAAACTGGTAACACTTTATAATAACTTTTATTAATAAATGCTTAACAGATCATTAGCTAATATATATTCACATAGCAAAAAAAAAAAAAATGAGATGATGTGCTTGTTAATGTGTTCTAATGAACTTGATTAGAATGATTAGCAGATCATTATTTAACGTAAATTAAAATGCTTACAAATGTCATCTAACTTTCAATTTATATGATCATGCACTTAAAAAAATTTTTTTACAAATGATTTTGACAGACGGTTTACAATGATTAAAAGCTTCCTTAATAAATCATTAAGAAACATTACATAAATCTTATTAGTTAATATATATTAACAAATATCTATGAGATAATATGCTTTATGCTTTGTTTAAATTATCTGCTAATCATTATGTACTGTAAATAAAATGCTAACAAAAGCCATTAAACTTCAATTCATTTATTACCAATGCATTTTTTTACATGTACAAATGTTGTGAAAAAAAAAGAAGTTTAATTAGTATTTTTAATCTACGTTAACACTATTCGTAGGAAGATATGAAGATAGAAAGGAAGATATTTTGAAAAATGTCAGTAACCAGACAGTTGATGGACCCCATTGAGTTCCATAGTAGGAAAAAAACAACAACTATGGAGGTCAATAGGGTACATCAACTGTTTGGTTACCGACATTCTTCAAAATAGCTTTTTGTGTTTAGCAGAAGAAAGAAATTCACACAGGTTTGAAACAACTTGAGGGTGAGTAAAGGATGACAGAATCTCCATTTTAAGTAAACTATTCCTTTAAACAGGATATTCCTTGAATCATGCATCAACAGGAGAAAACGTACTCGGTTACTAACGTAACCTCGGTTCTCTCTAGAGAGGGAACGAGTACTGCGTAATAGCTTACGCTAAGGGAAAACCTCTTTTCCACGAGATATTGAAGCCAAAAATTATCCTTAATTTTTTATTAATGTAAAACGCTTTGCAGCAGCAAGCAGACACAGGCGATACAGCTCACGTGCCTATTGGCTGCTCTTGCGGCAAATGCAGCAGCCTATCGAGAGAGACTCTGCGTGACGTAATGGCCAATGGGGGCAACTCGCGCCCATATCGTCACGTCCCGCCAGAAAGGGCGTGGTCTCACTCTATAAATATGCTCGTTAGGCTGGTACAAGCTGGTTTTCATCGCCGAAGCTAACCAGAGCGTATTCCAAGCACGGCAAGATACGCAGTACTCGTTCCCTCTCTAGAGAGAACCGAGGTTACGTTAGTAACCGAGTACGTTCTCTTACGAGAGTATCTCTCGTACTGCGTAATAGCTTACGCTAGGGGAACACAATGCAACACGTACAGGGTACAGGGATCCAACACCAAAGTCCCAGGGGCCGAAGCCCAGGGCTCATATAGTGCATAATCACCATAAACTCACATAGAGTGGAGGAAGAGAGGTTGGAAGCGTCATTCCTTATAAAAAAGCACCCAGCGGGGCTATCATATGACAATAAAACGCGCAGCCAGGGTGAAAGCTTTCAGCCTGATCTGGGTGGCCATACGTGTGTCAACACTCATGGGGCTGCAGTAAACTCAGCATCTGGGCCGCACAGCGGGGCAGATAGCACTGAATTTTTTGACCGCCAAAAGCTTAGCTTGTAAGGCGGGTACCTCCAGGTTATAGTATTTCATAAATGTAGACGGCGAGGCCCAGCCCGCGGCCGTACAGATATCTTGCAGGGAAACCCCGCTAGACCATGCCCACGAAGAGGCCACGCCGCTCGTGGAGTGCGCTCTGACACCCAAGGGGCACTGCAGGCCCTTTGCAGTGTAAGCGAGCGCAATGGCATCCACTATCCATCTGGATAGGCTCTGTTTTGAGGCGGCAAGTCCCTTGGAGCGCCCGCCAAACAAAACGAAAAGCTGCTCAGTCTGTCTGAAAACAGACGAGCGCGACACATAAGCTCTTAATGCCCTGACGGGGCAAAGGAGACTTGCGTCCTCCTCCTCATTGAGAACCGGAAGGGCGGACAGGGAAATTACCTGGGCCCTAAACGGTGTATTGAGGGATTTCGGCACATACCCGTGCTTAGGTTTGAGAATGACCTTCGAGTCATTAGGCCCAAACTCCATACATGACGCGCTTACTGAAAGCGCCTGCAAGTCCCCTATGCGCTTCACTGAAGCGAGAGCCATGAGAAACACTGTTTTGAACGACAGGTGTTTCATGTCCACCAGCTGGATTGGCTCGAACGGGGCGCTTTTCATGGCCTCCAGGACCGTGGAAAGGTCCCACGTCGGGACTGAAGGGGGCCTGGGAGGGTTTAGCCTCCGAGCTCCCTTAAGAAAACGCACGACTAAGTCGTTCTTCCCCAGCGACTGGCCAGACACCGGTTTTGCAAACGTTGCTATGGCCGCCACATATACTTTGAGCGTGGATGGGGTCCTGCCCTTATCCAGTAGCTCTTGAAGGAAGGAAAGCACTTCCGAAACCCCGCATTCCACAGGTGAAAAACTCTGGGCTTGACACCATGCAGAGAAAACAGACCATTTCGAGGAGTAGAGCCGCCTGGTAGACGGAGCTCTAGCCTGCGCGATCGTGTTTAACACTCCTTCTGGGAGGCTAGCGGGTACCCGTTGATGGCCCATGCGTGCAGGGACCACAGCTCCGGGCGAGGGTGCCAATCGAGCCCTCCGCCTGAGAGAGGAGGTCTCTCCTCAATGGTACAGGCCATGGGGCAGTGCTGGTCAGCTGCATCAGGGCAGGGAACCATGTCTGGTTTGTCCAGAGCGAAGCTACGAGCAGCACTGGGCATCCGTTTTCCCTGATTCGTTCCAACACCTGAGGCAGGAACGAGACAGGAGGAAAAGCATATAGGGGCAGCGGGGCCAAACATGAGCCAGCGTGTCCTTGCTTTTCGAGAAAAACTTCGGGCAATGAGCGTTTTCGTGGGACGCGAATAGGTCCACCTGTGCTCTGCCGAATGTTTTCCACAGCAGCTGGACCGTCTGCGGGTGCAGCGACCACTCCCCTGCTGGAACATTGTTCCTGGACAGTCTGTCTGGTCCCACATTCAGGTGACCAGGCACGTGCGCTGCTCTCAGTGAGAGTAGGTTGTGCTGAGCCCAGACCAGGAGGCGTTCCGTCAGCCTGTGAAGGTTTCGTGACCTGACGCCGCCCTGGCGATTTATGTATGCCACCATTGACATGTTGTCCGACCGGACCAAGACGTGGTGGCCTGTTACCTGGGGACAAAAACGCCGTAGCGCTTTGTCGACTGCTATCATCTCCAAGCAGTTTATGTGAAGGAGCTTTTCCCGTTCTGACCACAGGCCAGCTAGCGGTCTGCCCTCGAGCAGCGCTCCCCACCCCGAGGTGGAGGCGTCCGTAGACACCACCTTCACACTCGAAGCGGTCCCCAGACTCACACCTGACTGATACCAGTCGGTTATTTTCCAAGGTTCCAGAGCTGAAACACACTGTAGGTTGACCCTGAGGCGAAACAGACCCGCTGTCCATGCCCTGGGTGGAACCCGCGCTTTCAGCCACATCTGCAGTGGGCGCATGCGAAGCAAGCCCCACTGGAGTACAGAGGCCGCTGAGGCCATCAGCCCCAGCATTTTCTGAAACTTTTTGAGCGGAACTATCGAGCCGTGGCGGAAGGATTTCGCGACGCGCTGAATATTTAGTCCGCGCTCTGGTGACAGGCGTGCCGTCATGGATAGCGAGTCTAACACTGTTCCCAGAAAGGAAATTTTCTGACTGGGAGACAGTGAGCTCTTCGCCCAATTGACTGTGAGGCCCAGCTCCTCGAGGTGCTCGAGTAATGCGGCCCTGTGTTCTATGAGCTCCGATCGTGATCGAGCTAGAATCGGCGAATCGTCCAAGTAGTTCAGGACTCGCATGCCCTGAAGTCTCAGGGGTGCGAGCGCCGCGTCCATGCACTTCGTGAATGTACGAGGTGCTAGGGACAGGCCGAACGGCAGGACTGTGTATTGATATGCCTGGCGAAAGCGAATCTCAAGAATCGCCTGTGATGGGACGCTATTTGTATTTGGAAATAGGCGTCTTTCAGATCTATTGACATAAACCAGTCCCCGTGGCGCACTTGCGCGAGGATTTTCCTGGTCGTAAGCATTCTGAACTGGCGTTTCACAAGCGCTCTGTTCAGCTGTCGCAGATCTAAAATGGGTCTGAGACCCCCATCCTTTTTCGGTACCAGAAAATATCTGCTGTGTAGGCCCCCTTTGTTCTGAGCTTGAGATAAAGGTTCTATAGCACCTTTGCTCAGTAGTTTCGCTATCTCGGCTCGAAGTAGATGAGATACTTCGTTTTCACCGTCGTCTCGACGCGCGCCGTATAACGGCGGGGACGTCGAGCGAACTGTAGCGAATTGCCTCGTTTTATAGTGTTCAGCACCCATTCTGATACCCCAGGAAGCTGTGCCCACACTTTCGCGTGAATAGCTAGGGGTAGAATGAGATCTGGGCTCTGGCCGAGACATAGTGACGGCAAGGGAGCTCCGGCGTGCTGTAACGCAGACACTGTGTTTACAGTGTGTGAGGCGGGGGGCGCGCCAATCGCGGCGGGCAGCCTGGCCGCGCTCAAAACCCTTATAGCAGTTTGCTGAGGGAGAGAGAGCGGGGTGAGCCCCGTGGGGCTTAACATGTCTGTGAGTGAATGTGGGCGCAGGACAGCGGGCACATTTACTGCACTGAAAAACACCGTCGGCCTGAGCTGACTGAATGCGTGTTGGTTTCGTTTTTACAGAACCCATGGGACATGTGGTGTGTAGTGTTTGTGGGCACTGAGACGTAGGCACATTCACTACATTTAGTGCACAATCGACATGAGGCGATTTTGTTAGTGCGAGCCCTGCATTTTTGCGGGCTGTGTTTGTGTGTAGAAATGAGCCCTGGGTTGTGGGCATTTTCAATACACTCATAACACCATCGGCTGTGGCCGGAATACCAGAAAATACACCGTTTATGTGATTTATCTGGGTCGCCGTGGGAACAGCATTTGTGTGCAGGCAAGCGGGCATGGTACTGGCTTGCTTACTGCAAAATACACTGGAACAGTCACATTTTCTGGAACTGAACGAGCGAAAATTTCAGTGGAAGTCTGGCCACGGCGAGACTGAAACACCGTCGATTTCCTAGGAGGCTAGGAAGACTTGTGTTGATTTCGTTTTACAGAAACCGTGGTAGTGTTTGTGGGCACTGGGTTGTGGGCACATTCACTACATTTAATGCACAATTGACATGTGTCGATTTCATTTGTGCGAGCCCTGTACCGTGGCGGGCTTGTGTTTGTGTGTAGAAATGAACACTGGGCTGTAAAGCATTTTATTACACTTATAACACCATCGGCTGTGGCCGGAAAACCAGAAATACAATGATTACATGATTTTTCTAGGTCGCCGTGGAAACGGCCTTTATGTGCAGGCAAGCGGGCCGTGGAACCAGCTTGTTTACTGCAAAATACACTGGAATAGTCGCATTTTCTGGAACTGAACGAGCGAAAAGTTTCGGTGGAAGTCTGGCCGCGGCGAGACTAAATTTTTATCAGCTGCGAGAGCCGGGATCGAACACGGGTCTCTCGCGCGAAGGCTTCAGGTTTTGCCACTGGGCCACAGGGAGAACTACATCAGCGCAAGCAGATAAGAGAGCGTCATCACAGTTTTGTGTGTGTCGGCGTTTGTATGCAGGTGTGCGTGTTATACAACAGGCTCATTGCTGCAATAATGACATTTTCAGCCGCTCAAACTAGGAGCTGAGAAATGTTTGAGAAATGGAGATTAGTCCGGCCTCGGCGGGGACTAAAACACACTATTTTCTCATTTGCCGGTGACGCACGCCCATGGGGGGCGGGGTAGATTTCTTATAACGTAAAGAAAGCTAGCCGCGGTTTTAGGGCTCGCGGTCTTGATGCTGGCCCGTTTCCCTGACTACTCGCACGGCGGTTGCGCGGGCGCCTCCCAGTCGAGGCCGATGCTTTCCACGGCCTGAGAGAGCAGACGCATCAGCTCAGTCTCAATGCCGGCTCTCTTACCAGTGGTTTGGCGGGAAACGCTAGCGGAGGGGAGGTCCACGGAGCTCGCCCAATCCTCGCTATCAGATGCCAGAAGAGAACAAACCTCGGTGGGTTCGTCGAACTCGTGGACGGACGCGGCGGCAGGCGGCGGCCGTTGTCCGTCAGTGAGAGACTCGAGCGAAGCCGGCGAAGCTGGCGGGCGAACCGGCGAGCTTTGGCGGGCTGGAGAGAGCTCGGGAGCGCGCTGGGCGCGGCGCTTCTTGCGGCGCGGCACCACGGCGGGCTGTGGTGAAGGCTCGGAGAATGATGCCAGGCGAGTCCTCAGAGTCACCATAGGCAAAAGCTCGCAATGAGGGCATCCGCCGTCAGCGAGCGCGATGGCCGCGTGATCCTCACCCAGGCAGGACACACAGATGACGTGACAGTCCCCGTCGCTGAGCGGGGCGCGGCACGAGCCACAGGATGGCATCTTTAAAAAGACGCAGCTCTTTTGTGATGAGAAGTGTGAGTCGCGTCAAGTAAGCGAGCAAACACTCTCAGCAGAGTAAGGATACAAAGTGATATAAAAGGATATAGAACGCCGGAAAGCGCAGCAGGTACGGCAGTTGAAGGCGGCGAGGCCAGCGACTCCAGAGCTCGTCCCGCTGAAAGCTTGCTTCGACGGCGTGGCTTCTCACTCCGGATCCAGCGATGCGTGTGCTTCGCTGAAGAGATGAAAATCAGCTTGTACCAGCCTAACGAGCATATTTATAGAGTGAGACCACGCCCTTTCTGGCGGGACGTGACGATATGGGCGCGAGTTGCCCCCATTGGCCATTACGTCACGCAGAGTCTCTCTCGATAGGCTGCTGCATTTGCCGCAAGAGCAGCCAATAGGCACGCGAGCTGTATCGCCTGTGTCTGCTTGCTGCTGCAAAGCGTTTTACATTAATAAAAAATTAAGGATAATTTTTGGCTTCAATATCTCGTGGAAAAGAGGTTTTCCCCTAGCGTAAGCTATTACGCAGTACGAGAGATACTCTCGTAAGAGAACCAATAACATTTTCAAGAAAATACTTGTTCAATTAATTACAAAAATGTAATATAAACAGTTTGAACCATGTACCTTATATAATAATCAAATTGACCCCTGTACACTGTTGACCCCTTAACCAACACTGACCCCTTAACCAACACTAATCCCCCCCCCCCATTCCACCAAACCTGTCCCTAACTTATCACAACTCAAGTGTTTTGAAATATGAATTGAAAGTTTAATAACATTTGTAAGCATTTTATTGTACATTAAATAATGATCTGTTAATCATTATATAATGTTTAAGTTAATTAGTAACCATTAAGAAGCACATTATCTGATATTTCTAGCTATGTGAATATATATTAACTAATGATCTGTTAAACATTATATAACGTTTGTTAATGATTTATTAATGAAAGCAATTATAAAGTGTTACCTAAAAATCTTATTTCAGTGTCTCCCCACAGCAGTCATTAGCAGTAGTTTGTTTCTCTTGTACTTATTTTTAAAGTTAATTTGTTTTGGACTTGAGTTGTCAAAACAATCTCTCTCTCTCTCTCTCTCTCTCTCTCTCTCTCTCTCTCTCTCTCTCTCTCTCTCTCTCTCTCTCTCTCTCTCTCTCTCTCTCTCTCTCTCTCTCTCTCTCTCTCTCTCTCTCTCTCTCTCTCAGAACTATACCCAGTACATCCCTCTGTCCATCTATGACCTACAGACATGGATGGGAAGTCCCTCCATCTTTGTGTATGACTGCTCTAACGCTGGGATCATTGTCAAGTCATTCAAACAGTTTGCATTGCAGAGGGAGCAGGAGCTGGAGGTGTGTGATTTTACACGCGCACACACACACACACACACACACACCCATGTGCATACACTATTATGGTCAAATGTCAATTCAATGTGTTATTTACATCTGAATAACATTTTTTATCACGCATAACGTATAGTGGTCATACAATTTTTGTAATGTAGTTCTAACACAGGGTGAACTAAGAAAAATAAATAACAAAAAATACCAAGGGAGAGATTGATCTATATGCAGTGAGTTTTATACCAGAATAACATACTAATAACTTCAACATGAAGACGGTAGAACCAGGGAACAGAAAAACCACACCAAAACATATAGCCATGTAAGGCAAGACTCAACAAAAAACACAGGAAACACTAGGGCTATTTATACACAAGATAACAAGGGCTGATCTGTATACTACCTGGATTGCTAATTGCGTTCTAAACTGCCATCAGGCGGTGAAGCAACCGGAAGTGTTTGAGCGGCCATCTTACTATTCCCCACCAAGGGAATTATTGACTTACTGCCAAAACGTTGACCTAAAATCACCCGATTTGCAGCATCTCAGTCTCACAGGATTAGTTTTACGATATATTTATGTAAATTAATTGTTACTTCAGATGTTATCTATAATGTTTATAGTCTTTTCGAAGAGAATAAGTCCTATATTGAAATCGTTAATGTGATGTGTCTACTGCTAGGTAACTGACCAAACACAAAAATATATTTCTTTTGTACGTAATTATGATGAAGTTTTGGGACGTCTGCCTTTACATGAACATGAACTTTAATGACATCCCATTCCTGATCCATAGTGTTTAATATGGAGTTGGCCCAACCTTTGCAGCTATAACCTCTTAAACTCTTCTGGAAAGGCTTTCCACAAGGGTTAGGAGTGTATTTATGGGAATTTTTGACCATTCTTCTAGAAGCGCATTTGTGAGGTCAGGCACTGATGTTCGGCGAGAAGGCCTGGCTCGCAGTAGCCACTCTAATTCATTCCAAAGGTGTTCTATCGGGTTGAGGTCAGGACTCTGTCTGGGCCAGTCAAGTTCCTCCACACCAAACTTGCTCATCCATGTCTATATGGACCTTGCTTTGTGCACTGGTGCGCAATCATCTTGGAACAGGAAGGGGCCATCCCCAAACTGTTCCCACAAAGTTGGGAGCATGAAATTGTCCAAAATGTCTTGGGATGCTGAAGAATTAAGAGTTCTTTTCACTGGAACTAAGGGGCCAAGCCCGACTCCTGAAAAACAACACCACACCATAATCCCCCCTCCACCAAACTTTACACTTGGCACAATGCAGTCAGGCAAGTACCGTTCTCCTGGCAACCACCAGTCCTCTAGAGTCCAGTGGTGGCGTGCGTTACACCACTGCTTGTCCATGGAAACCCATTCCATGAAGCTCTCTATGCACTGTTTTTGAATTAATCTGAAGGCCACACGAAGTTTGGAGGTCTGTAGCTATTGACTCTGCAGAAAGTTGATCGACTTCTGCGCACTGTGCGCCTCAGCACTCATTTCACGATGGACTGACTGCACAGGTGGTAACCTATCAAGGTACCACACTTGAATTCACTGAGCTCCCTAGAGCTCCCTTGTAGAAGCAGTCTGCATGCATAGGTGCTTGATTTTATACAACTGTGGCCATGGAAGTGATTGGAACACCTGAATTCAATGATTTGGAGGGGTTTCCCAATACTTTTGGCAATATAGTATCTGTGTTTAGTTGCCGAAATGGATTCTAATAGCCTATACAATAAATATTAATACAAACCTCTGTCACTATATTGCACTATATTGTATTACAATTCAAAGTTTACCATGCATCATCTTGGAAATAAAGCAATAAGTTATGATGCATGTATTTTATTTTCTAAATGAGCAACATCTCTTTCAGACTGTGAATGATAATGACGTTTATGCGTGGTTTGTGAAAAAACAAAAAAAAATTGTCACTGAAATAAGGTCATGAAACCCATACTTATTATTTCTTCACAAGACTTTTTAAAATTGTATCACGTAGCCTAGAATATTTGCTCCAAAACTATGTGAAAATCATCCTGCCTACTCATTCAGATAAAACATTATAATGATTTAAAATTTGAAAGACATGTTTTGTGTAAGAAAGCTTTATGCGGGGAGGCGTTAACCACCCATTAATATATAGTGTTTCACACCTGAGAAAGACAAAGACCCTCCCCTAATGGCCCTATACGGTGCTATCATCATGAGGAGCCTTGCACAAAGAATGAGGAGAGACTTAAAAAAGAATGACTTTTTGATTGTTTGGATTTATTTACAGCACAACATAATCCAAAGATACACAACAAATGAAAAAAAAGCACATTATTGAAGAGAGACAGATCTAAAGACAGAGACTTGAACAGTCACACACCTTTATGCCATTGAAACATAGTACATACCTGTCATTTCCAAGGTGTTTGATTTTTCACCTTACCATGTTCATGTACAGAGACTCATGTGAATGTTGAAGTCAGCAGGACTCATCAGTGGGGCATCTGGTCCCTGTATAAAAAAAAAAAAAAAAAAAAAAAAAAAAAACACCAGCTGTGAACATGCTGATTTCCAGAGAAACTATAGGGCTACACGATTTTGGGAATACATTTTTAGATATTTCTGGTTAAAATTGCTTTTTAAAATGTACAAAATGCACACACACACACACACATACATACACATCTCATCTCATTTCATAACATCATAACGAATGGAAACATTTGGAGTAAAAACATAAAGCCTAATGTTTGTCGTGTTTTGCTTTCAAACTGACTCAAACTCACAGCGCGTGCAGAGAACATTTACTGAAGCGATCGAGCCGCTCCAAACTATTAAACATTATTGTTACCATATTATACATCTGGGGTTTGAGCAGATATCCACAAACACAGTATTTAACAGTAAACACGGGTCTAAACATTATAATATTCACCATGTTAGAGTAAACACTCGCGAACCTACTTTTATCACGCTGTCTTATTATCGAACATAAAAATATCCTCGTGTGGTACATGTATATACATTTAGCATTGAAAGGTTGGCTACCAGTCTAGTTCACATTTCGACATGTTTCTGTCTACATATAGATACACATACATGTACGACATTAGGCTTTTTACTCCAATTTCATTAAACATACATTTTAGTCTGGCACCAGTTTAACATGTCTTACCTTAAAAATCTTCTCATCTTCAAATTGTATTCTTCTAATTCTTCTGAGGTAAATCAAAGTGAAACAACACAGCACAAACACATCCAAACTCGATGAAAAGCAGAGAGGAGAAAGTTACTGAAGTCTAGTCTCCGATTCTTTGTTTTGAGGTGAAGAGGGCATAAACAGCTCTGCGTTCCTCCGCGTAGATCATTTGCATCTGAACAGCTCTTGCGCGCGTGGGTGTGGTCACATTAGAGTTAATTAGGACGCGTTTGAGAAATTGTACATGTCGCTGCTTTCATATGGATTACTTAAACATGCAATGCAGTGCTGAAGTATCCACTATCCTCTCCCTATGGAGGATCCCTTTCCCACTCTACAGATAAAGCGCTGTGAATTCCGGCTCGCGTACCCCGAAGTGATAAAATAAAACAAAATTCTGTATCAAAATTTATAGGCAAGAAAAGTAGTTTGTTTAGGCTGGGTTGTATGAATTACAAACCTGCGCACATATTTTAAAAAGCACATAACTATAGAATTCTGAATGAGCATGTGAACGCCGTCAGCGTTAATCACAGGTTCGCGTTTAAAGTCTGATCATTTCGACGGAGGTGAATCAATCAAAGTTAACTTTAGCTGGAAGTAACATTATTCAAGAACCGCTATAACGCCAAAACAATCTGTTACCTTAAATTATATGTTTATCTCTGTAAAGCTGCTTTGAAACAATTCATTGTTAAAAGCGCTATATAAATGAAGATGACTTGACTTGACTTAAACAGAGAATATTTGTTTTTGGTATGAATTACATAATTTAAAAATGGAGACTTAAAGCTTTGTAAAGACATAACTCGCAAGTATTTAATAATAAGCAAGTATTTGCTGAGTTAAAGATCATTTTCTGTCGCGTTTCAGAATGAACTTCACATTGAGAGAGACGACAGAACGCGCATCATGTTTGTTTTCTTTATTTTACGAAAAACACAACATTTTGTTTTTATTATTAGTGTACACAAATAAAAGTAGACATTTAACAGTTTTGAATGATGTATAACACTTGCCTGTATCACAAAAATCGACAGAGTTATTTGAGTCTCTTTTGCACTGATAAGAAAAAAAGAGAGACAATCGCGCCGGCGCGATAGCCGACCCCAGGGGGTTAATGGGACAAGTGTTGATGAAAAAGATGTCTTCACTTGTAGATCACAGACTTCTGGAGGGCACATAAGTCTGAAGTAGTGAGTTTAGTTATGGGGTACAGAGCCAGTGGTTGTTCTGTAGATCAAATTGAATTTGATGTATGCGGCAATTGGCAACCAGTGCAAATTGATGAAGAGAGGTGTGACGTTTTGGCTCGTTAAAGACCAACTCTTGCTGCAGCATTCTGGATCAGTGTCAGAGGTTTGACATGCTGGAAGGTCTGCCAAGAGAGCATTACAATAGTCCACGTATAGTCCATAAAACAAGAGCTTAGACAAGTTGTGTATCATTCTCCGATAGGAAGGGCCTGATCTTCCTAATGTTGTTTAAGGCAAATCTGCTGGGCTGGTCAGTTTTAGCAATGTGGTCTGTGTAGTTTAACTGATCATCAATCACAACTCCAAGGTGCCTGGCTGTCCTGGATGGAGTTATGGTTAACAAACCTAGCTGAATGGAAACGTTGTGAAGAAGTGTTGGGTTTGCTGAGACCACAAGCAATTCTGTCTTTGCAAGGTTGGTTTGAAGGTGGTGGTGATAGTAAAAAAAAACAAAAAAAAAACTTGTTTCTGAAAGACAGATCCTAGTGATGACGTAGATGAGATGATAAATGGTCCAAGCACTGAGCCCTGATGCACCCCAGTAGC